CTAATAATTGAATTTGAACTTAACATGGTCTTTTAATAAAATGCCCCAATAATAAGTGTACGATATGATTAACTAAACATATAAATCAACTATCTACTAGTAAGAGAGAAAAACTTAATCTGTCCTGAGCTTTTGGTCCATAGTTTAAGATCTTGACCTTTCAAATACTAGGAAATATCTCATTCAAACTAACAATCGTTAATTAAATTTGAAATAAGAACCAATATTTTTTACGTAGAGAAGAAATGTCCTTAAGGCAACATTAATTTAACTTTACAGAAACAATTATTCACCCATATCTACTTAAATAGTTTAACATATGTTAGAAGCAGGAGGTAAAGTCAATAGTTTAAATTACAATATCTAGATACTAGACCCAAACCCTAACGGGTAAGTATAATTATCACTTTGTACTAGTTAGATTCATGTATGCCATCACTCTTCCATATATGGATCCACTTGATAATGTTTTGTGACTGTGATGGGCACTAATATCATACAAATTTATAATTATACATTCATTATGATGTGATTAATTTTAATTTTTAAGTATCCTACTAATCATGGCGGAATCAGGAGACTAAATTTGGCGTAAAGTGTAATGTATAACTAATGAGGAGACCAAAACGTAAAAATATATTTAAGAAATTGCATTTAAAGGAGTAAAAGTGCAAAGCTTAACAAATAAGGGAGATCAAAATGTTAGAAAAAAAAAAAAAAAAAAAAATTCAAGAGATGAATTCGTATATATTGGTTATATTCATTCTCTTGATATAAGGTTTTTCCTCCTCACATTTAAACCTTATGTATTTAGGGAGAGAAGTTTGTGGACTTAAGTGTAAGAATTAGTGTAAATTAAAACACAACATTTAGTTTAGAAATTAGTGTAGCTATCTTCAGTTATATTACATTTTGTTAGATTTCTAGGGTTTACTTAATCCTAAATTAGCAGTGAATCGTTTATCAACTCAGCAATTAGAGATACAACAAATGAAGATAAAGAATCAATCAAGCATAATCAAGACACATAAATTATAGTAGTTCGGCTTTGCAGCCTACATCTACTCTCCAAGGCTCATAATAGGGCATTCCATTATCAATCAACATAGTACAGAGAAATGATCAGATCATAACATGAAAGATTACAATAAGGAAAAAACACACCCAAATCCAAAAACCCTAGGTTTTCTTCAATATGAAATCTACCATTTCCTTCAGCATCAGCATGTGTTAAATACACATGCTCCCTTCCTAGATCGTCATCCACCTGTCTTTGATTCCTCCATAACCGTAAGATGAAATCGATTCTGGAACTTTCTTAGGGTTAAGAGTTGTCAAACCAAAACAGAAAAGAGAGAGATGAAGTCTGTGTGAAAGTGTGATAGCCTAACAAATAACTCATTAGGTTTGGCCAAAAACGACGTCGCAACATGTGTTTGACTTTTAACAAAGAAAGATGACTTTCACCATGGCAAATGAGAAGCCACATCATCACATATTTTAACTATAAATAGAGAACTTATATGTTCAGCGTCGTGATGTGTGTAGATATCAAAATATATGGTTACAGAATGAAGGACGAATCCTGTGAGGTTGAGGCCACTAGCAATCTGTTGCACTTGCATGCACACAAAGGAACCAATGTGAATTGAATGGAAAACACCAGGATGGTGTTTGCTGTAGGCACTCCGACGCTCGAGTCAGTTAGGATAATGAAGACATTTTAGTGAGGGTTAAGAGAGAGAAAATGTTACCAGTAGCTTAGTCAGGAACTAAGGACATGGAGACAAAGTATAACTCTCAAGAGTGAGAACTATGAGGTTAGAAGGTGTAATGTTGAATGCTTAAACAGCGGGGTGACCTTTGTTTATATAGTAGTTATGGGATGTTCGTATCCTAGTAGGATTCTGAATCCACATAGGAGGAGGTCTAGGGAATAAGGAAAACCCTTATTCACTTGCCTCATTAGTAGCAAGAGTCCTAATTCATCCAAGATATGGAATCTTGGATGGAATAGGATACAACCAAATAGGAAGAATCCTACTTACCTTGTTTCGGAGGCCTGGCCTTTGGTGGGCTATTGACGAAGCCCTTTTTGGAAAGATGCTAGATTTGGGCTCAAGTCACAGAATTCAACACTGGCCCAACCAGAGTTGGATCGTGTCCTTGGGCCTTTGTGGTAGAAGATGCAAGCTTGGGCCTAATAGGGATCCAGGTGATTTTTGACCCCCACAATGTGTATTTTCACAAACAAATGAAAAAATGAACACTACGATATTCGAAATGGTTATTTTGCATGTTTATGACCGAGATTCTAAAGCCTTCTCGTAAGGTTCTAAGCTTTTTCGTCATTTTAATAACTTTTACTTTTCAGCTTTGGTAAGTCTCTTGTTTTGGTTGAAGGACAAGAAGCGTAAGAATGTCACTGATGCAAACCGACACCTTAAATACTTCTCGAGAAGAGCTTGTGATCTAGAGGTAAACAGTTAATTTCCAAGATTATTGATGGCATATAATTGTGTTCTTGATTAGTAAATTATGTTTTGTGGTTAAATATTGCAGTTCAACCAAGGTGGGTGGATGAGAAAGTGTTGTGGAATATTTTGTCAAACACACAACTAATAAGTTTTAACTAGAACACTCGAGAACAATAAATAGAGAAGACACACAAGTTTTACACGGGACGTAACACAAAGTTATTATCTTCACTAGAACAAGAGACAAATACAGTATTAGGGATCTCTCACTCTCTCTGCCTAGCAATTACTCACAACCTCTTAATGAAGTACATATGAAGTACCCAATACATCACTTATTTATAATGAATAATACTACATCAACAACCCTAACGTGATAGCTCGCAATTGTTCAGCTCACAAAGGGTCCACATAGGTCCCAGTAATTAATTACGAGCTGACCAATTGTGAGCAGCCACGTCAGGGTTGTGAGAAAAAGATAATACTCTAAGACTTAAATCCAAAGTGTTTAAGGAATAAGAATTCTAAATAGATGTGTATACACAAAAGTAATACTCTAATGTAAATAGGATAACAAAGCTTTTATCTTTGGCAAACAAGTAATCCTAGAAACCAAGATTCACATCCTATTAAAATTCAATATGACATTAGAAAAAGAGCTCCTAATCTAAGAGAAAGAACATTAAACAAATAATACGCTCAGTGGCTGAACAAATTGAAAATATTTTGATGGTTTGGTTAACTCCTGCAATGCTTGAACACATGCTTCCCCCAATCAACAAGAACTCCTGCTACCTCCCCAAGATGAGATCGTAGATGTCCATCAAGAAATTCAACCAGCTCAACAAGAAGTCCCGCCATCAGCCCTGCCTCATAAACAAAATCTCCATCAAGGAGCGGATGATAATATTGAGTCTGATGAAGAGGAGCTACAGATTGATTTAACATAACCAATGTATAGTGTGAACATATATAATTTCAAGATTTATGTTTTGACTTTTTTGGAGAAAGAAGGAAGTCAAGAATCATCTCATCAATACTAGTACTAATGCATGCTTTGTATTTTGTGATTGTGATAGGCACTAATATCATATAATTATAACTTCATTATAGTGCGATTAATTTTAAGTATCATACAAATAATGGTGGAATCAGGAAATTACATTTGCGGTAAAGTGTAATGTTTAACTAACGAGGGGATCCCAAGTACAATATACATATTTCAGAAATTACATATAAGGGGTCAAAGTGTAATGTTTAAGGTTTTGTCTCCTCTCTCTTAAACCTTTCTTATATAAGGAGAGAAGTCTTTTGTGGACGTAAGTGTAAGAATTAGAATAATTTAAAACACAATATTTAGTTTAGTTATAATAAATTATCCATAACCTTATTGTGAGTATTGCTGATCTCTCCAAAGATTTTGTTTAATTATCGCTAACCTCTCCTAACAAAGAGGTGATTAACAATAACGGAAGAAAATATTAAGGCAATACTTAAAGGGCACTTATAATTTTTATTTTGTTTTATCTCTCGTTCAAAATCATAATTCCCTTTTTTTTTTCTTTTTTTTTTTTTTTTTTTACTGGTTGCTTAATAGAATTTAGTGCCACCTAATACTTCAAAGTGTTTAGATATGTGATGTGTTTGGATTTTATAATTAATGATATCTAGATTAAAAGTTCTAAATTACATATTACTGGCATATCCTTATATCAATTAGGTTTAATTTTAAACTATAATTTTAGAAATAGATAGAGCATTTAAAGACGAACATAAATATTTAAAACTTTTTAAAATAAATAAATTTTAGATAAGTTTAAATATTTATTAAGCATAAGGATATATTAGGTAATTTGATTAATATAATTTTTTAAAAAGTATATTAGGTAATTTGATTAACATGTTCTTGCTTAGATTTAAGTTATAAAACTCTACTTTTTCTAATAAGTGATTTCATCTGAAGATAAGTTGATAATTTGTAAAAGAGCAAACAATCAAAAGACTAAAACTATATAAATTTAAGTGAAAAGTTCCCATGGTTATATTCTATTCTAAGTGCAAGTAGAGAATATATACAAGTAAAGACTATGATGTTATCTCGTTAACATTGTCGGATTAGTACTAACCATCGAATCCGAATTGTCGGACAAATAAACACTATTTATACATCTTCAATCCATAATAAATCTCTAACAAAACTCGAAATACATGTACCACGTCATTTATGTTTTAGTGAAAAAAAAAATGTCACATAATTTATATATATTTTCTTTTCATTAATAACCATGATCATAATATTTCAATAGATGACTTCAAAATGCTGCCACATAACGTGACGTGACAATACTTAACACTATTTATTTAGTCGGTCTTAATTGATCACATATAACGAAAAATATCATATAGCTTTTTTTTGGATGATAAATCGGATTTTAAGAGTAAAAAACGAAAAAAGAAAAAAAAGCCCAAACCAGATAATGAAGAAGGCCCAGCCCAATTAAGTAAAAACACTGAGCCAGTCACCCAAAAGCTGCTCCGTTTTCGTTTCAGGGTTTCCATTTCTAGGGTTTATCATTTCTCTCTGAATCTCTCTCTCTCTCTCAACAAGCTTCTGATTTTCACTCTGAAAATGACGAAATTTCGGAAGCTTAATCGACCCACCGGTCACAGAATGTCTATGCTCAGGTTCTTTTGTTTCTATTTTGCTCTTTTTCCTTCTCTCTAAACCCTCAATCTTTTAGGGTTTTGTTAAATTTTTAAATTTTTTAATTTATTTGATGTGTTTGTTTTTATGTGCAGAACAATGGTCTCTCAATTGGTGAAGCACGAGCGGATCGAAACCACTGTTGCCAAGGTACTCCTCTTTGCGTTTCTCTGTTTCAGGGTTTTTCTAGGGTTTAATATTTTGTTTGTAAAATTATTTTTATTTTACTTTAACCGTATTATTAAATATGATGATTGAAAAATTTTGAATTTTTGACCTCTTTTTTATTTACTTTGTTTTTCATCTAGCTAGTGATCGAGTGCAGACAAGGAGTTCTGAATTTTTTTAATTAAATATATTGAGAAACTTGAAGAAGATGTATTTTCATAATTGCTTTTTTATTTTTTGGTTTATTATTACAGGCGAAAGAAATTAGGCGTCTTGCTGATAATATGGTACAACTTGGAAAAGAGGTGAGTATAACGCATAGGATTTTTACCCGCTTTAGCATTAGGCTGAATTGAGGTTTTCTTCTTGTCTTTATATTTGTTGTCAATAAGGTTTGATGGTATGACTCGTAAGATTGTAATATTGATTTGGTTTTAAGATTTACGAAACTTAAAAATCCTTATTCTTCTATTTAGTAGGCTACTAAATCTCGAGATTTTAGTCTATGGATGAAGCAGAAACTAAAAATCTTGATGCCTTTCATTCAAAACTTTACTTTATGGCTTGTGGATATAGTTTTCTTAGATAAAATTGGTTCAACAACTACATCTAGCTGGAACCTAGGATAATTTTAGTTCTTAAAGGATCAATTTGAAGATAGGATGCTGGAAATTCTCCTTAAATACTGTCTCAGACTAAGAATAGAAGAGAGAAACAAACGGGCAGATAGTGGAGAAGACAATAAAAAATGAAGGTGAATATTTTTAAGTGTTCTGATATACTATAGCTAATCCTTTTATCTTGATGCACCAAAGAAACTCTTTGAGTGTTGGAGCAACTGTCTGATCAACCCCTCTACCTCGGTTTTGCACTTTGCTTATTATTGTCTAGAACAAATATTAGAAGCCTGGAATACATCAATCCTTAGTTAATTGGGTAGAGATGTCATATTTGTTTCCTCTGTAGACTTGCTGCTTCTGAGAGTTCATTGCCCCTTGAATTTATTCTATTCTGATTTGAAATAATGACAGGGTTCTCTGTGTGCTGCAAGACGTGCTGCAGCATTTGTACGAGGAGATGATGTTATTCACAAGCTATTTACAGAGCTGGCTTACCGATACAAGTGAGTCTTAACCCGTTGCTTTTTCAGTTTTGCATTCATGTATATTTTAATTGGATGGATGTTTTCTGTTACAGAGATAGAGCAGGTGGATACACAAGAGTACTTCGAACTCGTATACGAGTTGGTGATGCGGCTCCAATGGCCTATATTGAGTAAGATTTGTTTATTTGTTAATTACGTATTGTTTGTTAGCTTAGAAGACTTCACTGTAATGTTGCTACCTTGGGTTTTGTTGAACTTCACCAATATGTCCTTTTTTCTACTCATTTGTGGTGATGTTTGCTAATTGTCCAGATAATAATTTGAAGAAAACACTTCAGAAAGGAACAGTTGCAATATAATATTTGTCTGTTTAGGAAGTTTGTACTATGGAGGTTGCATTTAGGATCTGAGAATGAACTTAGGGATCAAATGAAAATGGACTATCATCACATTGGTTTTTTTTTTTTTTTTTCTTTGTTTTTGGACAACAAACGTGTTTTTGAAAATACCCCAACATGCTTGCACACACGTGTGGCGTGTACTGTTGAGGTAGTGAACTAAATAGGATGTTCAGTCCTAGTGAACATCTGATAATGCTCAAAATTTGTTCACTATTTGTTTTTGACAGGAAACATAAAGGATTAGTATGTAAAAAGAATGTACAAAAGTGGACCAGATGATCACCATACAGAATCTGTTGATTAATTGAATTTGAGTTTTGTTCAATTGTCATTGGGGTTGATCATGTATTTAAATCATACTCTTCACATTTGAGCAGGTTTGTCGACAGAGAAAATGAGCTTAGGCAGTCAAAACCGCCAACCCCTCAACCACCACCAAGAGCTCCCTTAGATCCTTGGACAAGATCCCGGCTCACAAAGCAGTTTGCTTCCCCAAAAGAAGAAAAAGTCTCCGAGTCTGAGATATGATATATGCAGTTGTATGAATCTTTTGATTTCATTGTTTGATAGCCTGCAATATCCTCAATTCTTCTGATGCTGAACCTTTTTTGAGCATTAATCAAGTATACCGCACTTAAATTTTGCCTGTGTCAATCTTATATTCCGCAGTCATTGTGTGATGTTACTAGAACATTTATAAGAAAGTCTCTCAAAATAGGGATCAAATATCTTGCCTCTTTTTTCTCTATTCTGGCATTGACAAGGACTCAAAGGTGATTTGTGCTTCAGGAATCAAGGGCATGACATCAAAAGTGTATGTAAATTTTATTTATCATCATTTAAAATGCAATGAGTTTCTACCCAATCTGCTAAATTGAATGTTACCTAATTTTGATATATAATTGCCTTATCAACCTCCCTTTTGGCAGTTGAAGTGTTGTGATGATATTCATAGATTAACAGAATTAACCACCTTGATAGCCCTTATAAACCAATAGCTTTGATAAAGCTTCTTTGCTCTCTCTTGAGTTTGGGCTTAGTTTTCTTCTTTTATATGCCCCTTACCTGAAAATTTGGATTATGTAATGCGAAAAATGTCACATGCCTTATTAAAGTGAAAACAAGAGGAAACTTTTAATTTGAAGATACCCATATGTCGTAAATTTCAAGTTATGATGATAGTTATCAACATGGACAATTTTCTTTCAATCCCTGTTTCAGTCTATTGCTTGTAAGGACACTCATTTCAAACATTAGTATTTTGGTTCTTTGACTTTATAGATTTTTGTTGGACCATCAGTTGACTGTTAATTGACCTGGAATTTATATTATAATTTCCAACTTTTTCCCTTAAAAGTTATTAAAGAAACACATCATACACTAAAGTTGTTGCATTTTTCATTTTTCTTTAGAAGGGTATTTGCCTCATTTAATATAATTTTCAAGTTAATTTATGGTTTATTAAGTTAAAAAGGACTAAAATGATAGTATTCAAAACGAGTACTCTTTATTAGTATCAAACCGACACCACAGGGACGAAAGAAAATTAGAATTCTCTCCTTATCAATACTTTATTCTTTAATTAATTTCAAAACTTAAACATAAATCACATTCAAATGTCAATTTCTCAAGTTTTCCTTTTCTTAATCTCCTGTCTTCTTTACGATAAAAAGGATGAAAGTAGAATATTAATATATGTTGTCTAGAGATTAATATATGTTGTCTAGAGTCTAGACAACATATGGAGTAGGTTCTAAGGTCACCATGGAAGGTACACCTTAATAATTATCTATTATCAATTTGACCAAAAATTCTTTGCCCATTTTTCAAGTTCCAAGGTATCACACTAATAAATAATTAATTAGATGAATTAATCTTTTCATATATGGTAAGATGAAATGGTGGAATAATTGAAAACAATGAGATTATTTGAGAATACACATTGAACAATTTTTGAGAATAGATCCATGACCAAAAAAATATTTGGGATTACTTATAGAGAAATGAAACAAAAGATACAGTAGAATTACGACAATTACTATATGAGGTCTACCTAATACTAGATATGAAGGTGCATAATAAATAGATATGAATATCATGAGTTGTCAATAAAACCGGTTGTTGTTAATATCTTCTTCTTGATTCCTTCTTTTCCTTCTTTCATAACCCAAGCTCGGAGAAGGAAGAGATGAGAGAGTTCTATAAAAGAATATGGCCATAAATCCATAATAGAGTTTGATTAGGGTATTTATCAAAAGTCTACCATGCTCTCTTACATGAAACGTGTAGTAAAATAGAAAAGCCGATTAGAGAGATAGATTTACCATGTTCGAATAATAAAGGATTTGAATTATAATTTAGGACGTGATGAGTTTAATGTATTAATTTGAATGATTATTTAACCTAAAAAATTAAACTGATAGATAAGCATTCGACAATATAACATTTAATAAAATCTTTCATTTAAAACCTTTTCTTCTACTTTGGCTCATGGGTGATGAAAAAGAAAACCAGCCTTGCCTATGGTTGCATGCTTTCCTTTGCTTTGCTTCCAATACAAAAATACACACACTATCTCAAAAATCTCCATAATTCCTTCAACTTCACCTCTATCTTATTCTATCCCAAACCATATATTATAATTTTCATATTATATACATAATAAATACTTTATATAATAAAAATAATGCATGGGATTGAGTAACATAGAAATACGTAGAGAGGATGCAAGGTTTCCATCAGAAAAGACAGTTCCACTTCACTTTCTTAACTCACATGTGTTTACTTCTCATCTTGCCACGTGTCAATCCTTCAGATCTAGTTCTAACTTAACTTAAATCTTAATAATACTCTTTGCTTTGTTGTCCCATGATTACTTTGATTATATAATAATGTTTTCTTAGATCTTTAATAAATATAATTATTTTATTTTAGTTTTCTCCGTCTATTTTGCTTCAAAATCTCCTTACTTGGATGCAAAGAATGGAAAACTTCGGAGAAATTGACATTATTAGTTGGTAATTTTTATGTACTTAAGTACTAATCTTTGTTTTGTTTCATCGAACCTTCTAATTTTGTTTTTGACTCATCTTAATCATGATTATGTTAATGCCTTGTGTTAGGTGAAATAGTTATTTTTGATAGGACCCTTATACCTATTTTCACTATATTTTGTCATGGATTTTATTGCTTTTTCTTTAAGATAATTGGAGAAAAATACAATTCAAAGATTTCTAGGTACTTCTTTACCCAATTCCTGGAATGGTTTTTTTTTTTTTTTTTTCTTTTATTGCCAAAGATTGTGGGTAAAAACTATAAAATTACAAACTGTCTGGTATAGAACATAAATACAGATATTTGTTTTCGAAATTAAGGGATCTAAAAGCCTTATGAAAAGGCATTTGATTGAAATGAGTTAGTTATATATATATCCTAATAAGTGAATAAATACAGTTATAGAATATAATACTGTATTTGATAGAGATATAAACACGATTATTTCTTTTTGGAAAGAAAAAATACAAAAAGTATTGGGAAAATGAGTTTGGCTAAAATGTGGATTGAAATGGTTTCAAAACAATTTTCTAATGCAATTCTAAAAACTAGTATATAAAATCAGAAAACGGGAAAAAATATCTTCTTCTCGATATACATAACCGTTAATTTTAAAACAATTTTATATTATATCAAATATTAAAAATGTTAAATCGTATGATAAACCGAACATAATGAACTAAAATAATTTACTGTAGCTTTATGTGGTAAGTGGAATGGGACATTTGATCACCTAAGCTCCTTTTTTTTTTTTTTTTTTTTTTTTATCGATATCCATCATCAACCAACCCTATTGTTTTCATTAACCTAATAAGCAACTACTTTCAAGAATTAATTTAAGTTTTGACACAAGTTAAAAAGATAGTAATCAATAACCAAACATTGTGATACTTCTTGTTGGTTCAATCATTGTAATTATCATGAAGGTTCATAGTTCACCAGCAAGTGAAAAAAACCAAACTTAAAGTCAATTCTGCCTTAATGCAGTATCTTACAGTAGCAGAAACTTGAAAATATGGGTAGTTTTTTATCAGATAGCTATAAATGAAAACTTTATATTATGTGACCTAACCAATTTTTAATTGGATATGAAAGCAAAAAGGCTACTTTTCTTTGTATCATTATATTTTAGGTAACATATTTTTCATTATATTTAATTGTAGGAGCTTCATCTCATCCTCATAGGAAAATAATTTCAGCAAAAGGGTATTTGTAGTTTGACCATAAGTCCTTGTTAAATGATGCTGAAATCAAAAGTTGTTGGTGAACAAATATGGAAAATAAATAAATAAATAAAATTGGAATTTTCAAGTGAAATGAGAATTCAGATAGAAGTAAACTGTCTCTATATTGAACCCAATGTGCTGTTACTGAGGTGTCGGCCCTTCTTCAAACCCATTTCTGCATACTCTCTGAGGTGTCTCTCTCTGTTTTGCTTTTCTTTTCTTTGTTTAATGAGAATTTTCAGTTTTTTTTTTTTCATGGAAATATGAGCTTTGAGTGTTATTATATGAGCTTATTCTTGGTTGGTGGCACATTAGAATGAGAGGAGCAATGGGAAATTCTGCTGGTTCTGTCGAGGCAAGACATCGATTATCGGCTTCCATGTGAGTCTATCTCCGCTTAATTTGTGCTCAGTTTACTTTGAAATCATTCCAAGCTAATATCTGAAAAATTTGTAGTCTTAGATTTTCAGTTCTATAAATAAGAATCTCATGGATCTGCAATTCTCAGAATGTTTAAAGGCTACTTCTTCATTGGTACTCTTTCATCTTCTTAATTGTCTTGTTTATTCTGAAACCTGATTGATTGATTGAATGAATGCAGTGAAGACATATACAAGAGAAGAGTGCAGAAAAGTAAAGTGAAAGGAGGCGAAAAGCCGTTCCACTTATCAATCCATGACAGGAATTCTTGCTGCAAATTGCCTCTATTGAAACTTGTTTTGGTTATCATAATGTGTGGCACTTTAGTGACGCTCCTCTACTCTCCTGACGTTTATTCTAACAATCAACTATCTCCCTCGAATTCTCGGTAAGTTCATTTCCGAGTTTCTTGTCCAGTTTATAGGATAACTGGAAAAGAATTAACTATCATTAGTCTTGTGTTCATCAATGTAGGCCAAGTTTTGTGAACAGGTGGATATGGGGAGGATCAGATCCTCGATACGTTTCGGATTTAGATATCGACTGGGATGATATTATGAAAGTTATTGAGAAGCTGAGTGAAGAGAATGACTATCGAGGAATTGGTCTTTTAAATTTTAACAAGAGCGAAATCAATACATGGAAGCAGTTTATACCTGATGCCAATCACACTGTGCTGAGCCTGGACTATGCTGCAGAAAATGTGACTTGGGATTCATTATATCCCGAATGGATCGATGAAGAGGAAGAGAAAGATGTTCCTGTTTGCCCTTTTCTTCCGAAGATTGAAGCCCCGAGGAAGAGAATTGATCTCATCGCTGTTAAACTTCCGTGTAGAAATGAAGGGAATTGGTCTAAAGATGTGGCTAGATTACACTTGCAGCTCGCAGCAGCCGGTCTTTCAGCTTCTGAAAAAGGCTCTTATCCTGTGAATTTGCTTCTCGTTACCAAGTGCTTTCCGATACCAAACCTGTTTACTTGCAAGGAACTTGTGATTCGCGAAGGACACGTATGGTTATATAAACCAAACTTGAATGTTCTGACACAAAAACTTCAGCTTCCCGTTGGATCTTGTGAACTTGCACTTCCACTCAGAGATATAGGTCAGTACTAATTGGAATTTAGCTACGCATAATGTTCTGCATTTCTCATCAGATGTTATGCTTGAAAATTTGATACATTCTCTTGGAAAACAGGCGGGGACTACACAGGGATCGCCAAGCGAGAAGCATATGCAACAATTCTCCATTCTGCTCATGTTTATGTGTGTGGAGCCATTGCTGCTGCACAAAGCATCCGTATGTCAGGCTCCACCCGGGACCTTGTAATTCTTGTCGATGAGACGATCAGTGTGTACCACAGGAGTGGCCTCGAGGCAGCTGGGTGGAAAATCAGGACAATACAAAGGATCAGGAACCCAAAAGCTGAGAAAGATGCCTACAATGAATGGAACTACAGCAAGTTCAGATTATGGCAGCTCACAGATTATGACAAGATCATTTTCATCGATGCAGACTTGCTAATACTTAGAAATATTGACTTCTTATTCGGTATGCCTGAAATTTCTGCAACCGGAAACAATGGCACAATGTTTAACTCTGGTGTTATGGTTGTTGAGCCCTCAAATTGTACATTCCAGCTTTTGATGGATCACATTAATGAGTTCGAATCCTACAATGGCGGTGACCAAGGATACTTGAACGAAGTTTTTACATGGTGGCATCGCATTCCAAAACACGTGAACTTCTTAAAGCATTTCTGGAGTGGTGATGAGGAAGAAGTAAAGCAAAAGAAAACTAGACTCTTTGGAGCTGAGCCTCCAGTTCTCTATGTTCTTCACTACCTTGGTTTGAAACCATGGTTGTGCTACCGCGACTATGATTGCAACTGGAATGTCGACATATTACAAGAGTTTGCCAGCGATGTTGCGCACGAGAAGTGGTGGAGAGTGCATGATGCTATGCCTGAGCAGTTGCAGCAATTCTGCCAGTTGAGGTCTAAGCAAAAGGCACAACTAGAATGGGACCGAAGGCAAGCCGAACTGGCGAACTACACAGACATGCATTACAAAATCAAAGTGGAGGATCGGCGTATGAAGAAATGCATCGACAAACTATGTAACTGGAAGAGCATGTTACGCCAATGGGGCGAGACTAATTGGACAGATGATGAGTCTCTTACTCCAACACCACCTGCAATCACCACAGAATCTCTTTCAGGATTGTGAGTTGCAGTCTCTATTTTTGTGACCACATTCTTGCCTTCATCACACACTAGAAAAATTTGATAATGGCGTCATTTCGCCTCTCTTTCGCTTTCGTGTTAACGCATAAATTGGTCACATCCATGTTATAGCTATCTTGTAAAAGAGAACGGTTTTGGTTTTCCTCCAAGATGTAATATGTATTAATTCTAGTTGTGTTCTGTTTCATTATAGTGAGGTATAAATTTTCTATGACTTTGCAATGAAAGAATTCTGGAAATTTTATTTATTTGCATAACATGAAACTGAAACTGAAGCTATCAGTCAGGTTAATTCAACACCTGAAACATTAATTCCAAGCAAAATCAGGAAGAAAAATCGTGATATGAAGAACAAAATGAATATTGAGCTCTGCATTCATAGTTTATTACATGTTACGTTTGAAAATATATTGGTTCGGGAAGATTTCTTAATCTTCGATGATCTTCTAGAGTTGAAATGAGTAGAATGTGACTGTTTGGTTTGAGAGAAAATGAGGAAAAAACTCCAGAAAATTCTGATAATATGGAGGGAAAGTTTCAAAAATGGGGTTCTTTTGGGACCTTCGTTGTGGGCTTGCTTAATGTCCCTAACTTGTTTCTAAGCTTACCCAAGCAAGCCCAAATCTTACTAGGCCCAAATCCATCCCAAATCTTGCTATCTTTCAAGTTTTTCTCTAATAAACTTTCAAAGTGTATCATTTTAGTGAGACTATAATATGTTGCAGAATTCATGAATTTACTAAAACTTTGTTAATAGTTATTCAGTCTCAAGGAAACTTATAAATCTTGACTCTTGAGGATAATTCCTTCATGTATATGCTTTTTATAATTTGATATCAAAACTTGATGGTTTCATATGTTTGTGGGGTGACTGGAGCGGTTAGGTTTATGGTTTGCTCCCATAATATCACCATAAACATTATTCTTTAATTTATCTTTAATACAATATCACCTCATCACATTTAACACGTCAATTTGTGTGAATGAGTTTGTATGAAAAGTTTATATATATAATATATTATTCTTGTTCTATATATCTCAAAAGATATCATAACATGTAATAAAATAACTATAAATGTTGAAATATTGAACAATCAAAAATAAAAATCAGAAAACAAGTTTATAAACAATAAGCACCTAAAGAGTACTCAAGAGTCTTAAGACTCTTTTTTATCTTCTAGTCTAGAGATGACTTGCCAAACTATCCTGAAATCAGAAAAAGCTTAAGGCATCAAATGATGGATGGTTGTTTGCGTGGAAGTAACATTAAGAAACAAGAGTGTGCAATGAATAATACATTATAAATGTGGCCATTTCATCAAAAGCTGTGTAGCACAAGCCATCAATAATTGCTGAATTTTATCCTCAGGCCACTAAAGCTGAATTCTCTCTTCTTTTTGTGCATATCTGTGATCAATAGGAGCACCATAAAGCCATAATCTTAATTTCTTCGCAGCATCATATTTTCATCCTTGAAATTACTAAAACATGCCAACAATATTGAAATGAGAAAGCGAAGTTGTTTCGCTACCTTGTTTTATGGGTTGAATGTTAGCAAATTTTATATGCGCTAACATTGATTATGTTTTGGTTTGATAAAACTAGGTAAATGTATAGCCCAAATAAGATATCAAAATAGACTTTATGTGATCGTTCCAAAATTGTCCACTACACTTTATTATAATAATCTGGGTAGACGAGTAGTGTGGACTTAGGCTTTTAATGAGCTTTACGATTTATTGAGCCTTTAATGAGAGTGTCCAATTAACCAATATTAAAATTGATTAGGTCTCTTTTCCAAATACATCAGAACAACTTAACTTATTATAAGTCGTCATTTAATACGTATTATTGAAAATGAAAACCGAAGTTTTCTGTTACTTCTGGAAAACCTACCGCTTTTTCGGTAAGGAATTCAAGAATCATAAATCATGACACAAACAAGTTTATCTATAATTTTTAATCATTGATTCTGTATTTTATAATTTATATATTAATCTTTTGACATATTGTTGATTATAACTGGATTCTATTCTTTTTGATCGAGTAAATGTTGATAGATTTCATGTATGATTTTCTTACATTGAACATTTATCGTTTATCATGAATAAACTCATCAGATGATACTATTTATCCATCCTTACAAATCTAGAATCAGGGGTGGGACCAGGGGCTGGCTCCTTATCCACCCGAATACCCGATGGCCCCATCTGCCTACAGCCTAGTTGAAATCCTGGAAAAGAAACTCATTTTTTATTTTATAATTTTAATTAAATTCTTAATTAATTATACATTATTTAAAGTGTTTTTATTATTATTTGTAAATCACTTTCACATTTTGTTTCTCTTCTTAATAAAATTATAATAAGTCCAATTTATTACATTAATAAATTTTCATTTTAGGTTTTGCCCCTGTATAGAATTACATATATAAATTTCTTTGGAGTCTACCTAACTCACATGCTTCAAGAGTATAAAAAATGCACTTCATCAACATGCTTTTAACATCCTCTAAAGCTTGATGAAAGGATGTGATGTATATTGGGTTGAAATTTGATGTGCTTCTGCATTCATCTGTCAGCCACAGTGTTATTAATAGAAGTAGATATATAAAACAAAGACTTTTGGGTGAAGAGATAAGAAATGGCATGGAGTAGCAGCCCTATTATTAATTTATTATCATGCTGCAGATAGTGCCATAGTGGAGGGTCCACTGTAAATTTCACTCTGTGCTGGTGAGTTGATAGGCCATTTATTGTAGAAAAGTAGGCACCCAGCCACAAGGATGAATTAACTATGATGCTCAATAAATTTTCAATTTATTTGTACCTGTAACATTTTGGTCCTATGAAGTAAATATTATCTATTTTACACCTAACTCATACCGATTTGTTTTTTTGGTGGCTCTCATACAATCATCATTAATTGGGTACTAACTAGAACCAGAAATGGATACTATTAGCTTTGCAACCAAACAGACTAGCCCACTAAGGAATATACAGTAGGGCACTTGTGAACCACTGTCTTAATCAGGATATAGAAAGAAAATGAAAAAGAAAAAAAAAAAAAAAAATTCAGATACTATCACCCTATCAGCATAATAGCATATGGCTCTGGTCGGCTAGTCCACTTTTCGTTTTTCTATGTATGCCTAAACAGCTGCATGTGAACTTGAACATCACCATGAAATGTCCTTTCTTTAATTATCTTTGTCCTTTTCCTACAATTGATGATGGTGATGAGCTTAAGTTTATTTATACATTTTGGGTGCGATTGTTTTCTAGAATTGCATTATATATATATGTATAAACATTTTGGATGTGATTGTAAAATTATCAATCAATTAAGAGTTTTATTGGTCATTCCTATTAAAGTACAAAGTAAATCAACCCTAAAACCTTTTAAATAATCCTTTTAAAAATCATAATTGACCCAAGTGATGGTGCATAAATAGTATTGTTATAGTGTTTTTCTCTTTTAGTCAAGTGTTTAGTTGCAAATTTGGATGGAATGAACTGTATTATAATCAGTACTAATTTAAGAAAAATAATCCCCCACCCCTCCTTGGGTTTACTCAGAATTATTTATTTAGAAAATTTTCATTCTTTTTTTCTTTTACCAAAAAAAAAAAAAAAAAAAATTTCTATTGAATAAAAGTTAATAATATTTTTTTTAAATCAAAAACTTATTTAAAATATTCATTACTATTTATCAAAAATTTTGGAAAATTCTTCAGTAAGATAACATTTACATAATTATATTTTTATTTAAATATTAAATTTAATCTATTCCAATGCTATCCAGTCCAAAATATTCAGTCCAGTCCGATGCTATGCACCCTTTAAGTCTTTTTAACAAAACAGACGTATTTTAAGCGAATGATGATATGTGTGTGAAACCCATAAATTAATCTGTACAAACTAAAACTCTAGATAAATTATATCTATGCGGTTGTGCTTAGACTAATACAAATAAATATTCTTCTTTCCTCTAGCATTGAAAAAACTGTAGAAATCAATACTATTACATCATTTATATATCCGTTTACTACTGAATAATTTTCTCTTTTACTTATTTTAACCATCAAAATGATATATTTACCGAATAAAGCTTCATCAAGAAATGACGTGTTATATCCATCGTAATCAAGACTACATTATACGCATTCAATGCATTATGGAGAAGAAAATGCTCAAGTCGCTTTCCCACCATCTCTTTCTATTATTGCATGGTGCAAGCCTCATTGATTTTCATCTCCTCCTCACAAGTCAAGAATGCTTTTAACTATGACATTTTTTGCGTTGCCAACAAGTCAAGCAAAACAAATATGTGGCCTACATTTTCTCAATCATGTGCAAGAAGTTTCATTTAATTGGGCTCATCGAATTTTTATTTTTTATTTTTTTAATCTATAGCCCAGAAATTTTTCGATTTCGCTTTGCAAATCTAAATTCCAAACTAGAACTCCGGTCGAACTCTAAAATTTTTGAAAAGCGAGAATCTTGAAAGTTGAAGTTAAATTTTTTTTTTTTTTTTTTTTGGGTTGGATTTTGTTATTTCATTAGTGTGTGATTATTTACTTCAAGATAACTAGCTTATGGCCCATTAGATGTGACATTTTCTAATTCCCTCAAAGAGTCAAGATTAGTTTTAAGCAATAATTGTTGGAAGGTTCCAGTCAATCTCTACTTTATAGCGTCAAAAATTAAACCAGTGATTGTCACCAATACCCACATTCAATTCACCCACCAAAGAATTTTAGGCATTTTACTTAACACATCGACTTTCAAGATTAAACTTCAACTGACAGTAGACTTTTAGTGTCAACGATGGACTTGCAAAATAACCGCCCGTAGGTGGTAGATGGTTGGATAAGACGATAGTGACTTTTAGATATATTACTCAAGAAATTTTGAGTTTAATTCCTCTCACTATTTATTTTATTATTATAAATTGAATTACATGCACTTCAAAAACCTCTTGATAGTATAACAGACCTCAAGGGATTAGTCGAGGATATCATATTTAATGTTAACTATTTATTTTATTATTACAAGTGGTATAATATACACTTCAAAAGCCTCTTGATAGTGTAACCAAAACCTTGATTTGAATATCAACATGAAATGTAATTGTAATATGCCCATCAATTTCTTGAGAATTGCACAATAGAGGTGTTATGCCTAAAAAGTCAGGGCTGACGTAAGCTTACATCAGTAAGCACCAA